GAACTGCAGACAGGGTTGGGTGCTGCCCTTCACTGAGGACGACTGGCAGGGCAGCGCGGTGCGGTGCTCGCATAGGGATGGGGCGAGCAGCCGGAGCCGCTGTCAGGAAAAGGCCTTTATGGCTATATTTGTGCAGGCAGCTCTGAATGCTCAGACCTTTATTCTTTCAGGCTTTTAAACTAAAGGTCATTTTCTCTTCCCTTCCAGAAAAAAAAAAAAAAAAAAGAAAAAAAAAAGTGAATTCCTCTTGACGCAGATCCCCTTCCCCTCTGGATGGGAGTTCGATTGTTCTTTACAAGCAAACTCCAAATCTGCCCCTCGCATTCACTTCCTGTTTCCTGCCAGAAAGGAAACAGAGATTTCGGGCTGTGTGAACTAGTCCTTTATTTAAGGATACAAGAAAATAGCTAATCCTAATCCAGTGGAGTGCTATGCATTTCGCCACGCTGCATTACAGAACAAAGAACGGGCAGCATACACCCGCCCTTCCCAGCTGAACACGGAGCTGCACACTGATTTGAGTATAATGGGTATTTATGAACGGTATCCTAAAACATTTACTGAAGTCCAACGCAAACCCAAGCCCTTCGGCCAGGAAGCTTTTAGCTACCAAAAATAATCACCAGGCCTGGTTAATATTTTTAACGATCGTGCATTCTTGGGAATTTCCTCTTCCCTTGGTGGAGATAAGTGATTAAACAAAATAAAGGCAGTGGCCATGTTGATACGCTGCGACGTGTCAGGGAAGAGGCATATCAACAGTTCTTTTTTTGTATCTTGTTCTTAAGTCCTGACTTCTGCATTCACCGTCTGGCTTTTAGGCTGAATTCCACTTCTCTATTATGTTGCTGAAATCCAGTGAAGTCAGCAAAAAGACATAAATGTTTCCTGGGGAGGACTTTCAACCAAGGAATTAGATCCACTAATAGGGAGACAGTTATCTATGACACACTCCATTAATTTTATTAAAAAAAAACCCAAAAACCACTGATTCCTACACATGGATGCTGATTGTAATTTTGGTACATCGCTATTTACCCATTCTTCAGGACTTCTCCACAGAGACCTCATCTGGGTTTGGTTCAGATCAGAACCGGCCTTTAGAGCTTGTTTCTCAACACGCTGATTATTTTTAACGTAGAAAACTTGTAGTAGGCGGTAAGGTTTTGTTCTGTAACTGGATAGCTTTAACATTTCTGTTACTGTTGTCTGGAATGATCGGGAAAAGTTGGTGGGAGAGGGAGGCGGAGGGCTGTTGGCAGTCAGGGCTTTGGTGGAGAATGGAGCAACCCAGAAGAAGGTGCCCTGTGGTGCCATTTGGCGAGCAAAAGTTGCTTTTCTGTGATGAGAAGGCAATATTTCTCCTTTCAGGGCCTTCCTGCTACAGCCAGCTCTGTATGAGTCAGTGTGAAGGCTTTGGGCACCAGGATGGTCCTGTCCTTGCATCACCCAAATTGCACACAGCTGATGCCCCAGCTCCTCGCAAAGGGCTTTATTCCTTCTCCTCTGTGTTCACAATGTGTTCTTTCCACCCAGTCATTCCCTGTGGTGTTGCCTTAGGATTTCATAGAAATAAATAGTGTTTGAAGGTCTTTCAAAGACTATATGGTCAGGTCTTTCATAGGGGACAGCACAGATGTCAGTAAATCATCTTGGGGAAATGCAGCTTACTTTCCAATATGCACAAAGGTCAGGGACAATGGAGAAAGTGCCTTGCTGCAATAAAATGCGGTTCTCACTGATCTACAAAAGCAAACATTAATCTGGATTAGCCCTCAAAATGGCCATGGATCACCCATGTTCTCAAGCAGGACAGTCACGGTGGGATCACATCTCCTCCCCACCAGGGGTTTCAGCCCAGCAGGGTGCTGGAACACTTGGCTGAGGAAATCTGTTTTGTCACAAAGACAGCAAGACATTGAGAACCCCACAGGGTCAGTCTGATCCACTCTGTGTGTCTTTCCATTGCACACGGGTTTCAGAAAGATATGATCATGCTCAAATGTTTTCTGAACGCCTGATACCCACTGCAGCGATGGGAGGTGAACAGTGAGATACAAAGCTGCTCTGGAAGTCAGCACTGAAACCTTATCTCGCCCAAAGCAAGGATAAGAGAGCCCGTCACCAAGCTGGCTTAACATAAGAGAGGCTCTGAGCTTTTTCCTGTTTCTGTCCTCCATGCTGTCACGACAGCAGCAGCAAGGCACGTCCCTGCTCCCTGTGGGCTGGGATGTGCTGGGGTCCCACTGGCACCACGAAACACAGTGCTGCAGGACATGAGAGTTTGTCCCCATCCCATTTGATTGCCTGTATGGCAGACAGCATCTTACACAATGTTTAGTCTCTGCTCCCCGTTTCTCCCACTTTCTCTTATCAGGCTGTTCTTGAACTCTGCTGGGAGGCAGGGAGCAAAGGGGAGGCTGAGACATAGACCTCCTGCAGAGGAAGCCCACTTTTTGGGCGAGTTTTTGTTTTAATATTCTTTATTAAAAAGGCAAACAAAACAGGAGAGAAATTTCAGTGGCAGAGGTACCACTTTAGTTAATCACTCCAACTTTGGGGCCTACAGGCTCAACCTTTGAACTGAGGGACTTTGATCATCTCAGGGGACATTTTCCCAAATCCAGACTTCTCCAAGATGCCACTTTCTAAAACACAAATAGTGAATAAAGTTCCTTTTCATGTGAGAATTTCACCAGGAGCAGACAAATCTATTTCCTGGCAAAGCTGCAGTTGCCTGCCAGCCTCCCAAGGCTCTCCCACATGGTGAGAAGTGCTAACGAAGAAATAAATCCTATGGCAGCTCACAACGCCTAAAATTAGCCAGTTAAATTTATGCAGGCAGGTTTCATGCAGGAATTTAAAAGCAGTCCATGGGTGTTGGATGAGTAAGCAGCAGAACATCCCTGCAGTGGGACTGGTGCTTTTGTTATCCACAGATGATAAAACAAGCAAAAACAAGCAAGGGGCAGTAAAGTAGTTTTTTCCACGGAGAATACAGGAAGGGGGAAGGAAAGAGGACCTTGAGCTGTCACTCAAAGAGTTGGAGCAGCCCAAGCCTGGAAACGCTTGGTGCTATGCTCCTGAGGCTGCTCAGGGCTGGAGGTGAGGCTGGGGTTGGGGTTGCTCTGCAGAGGAGAAGCAGTGCCCTGAGCATGCCTGGGTTGCCTCATGCTCCCCGCACTGCAAAAAGCCGTGCAAAGTGAATGTGGAGATTTTGTCAACTGACTTTGATTGCTGCTTGATGATTGATGCTGTTATTGAAAGCACTGAGGGGATCAGTGTGGGCAGGAGGTATTCATCTGGAGTCCGTCAGCTGAGGGGAGAGCAGCATGCCATGCTAATTGGCTGGTGCTAATGAGGAATCTAAAGCCTTTCTGTTCCTCTGCACAATTCACGCCTGACAGGCCCTGAATGATGCAAGGCTGTTGGAAGAGCACGTGTCCTGGCTTTGTCTTCTTGTGTGAGCCATGCTCAGCCTGCAGTGAGTCCCAGCACCACCTCACCACTACTAAAATGTCCCTGTGTTGTGGGCTGGGGTGGCTGTTGGGGCTGTGTGTGCTGGCGGATGGCAGCAGCAGGTCTGGAGATGCTGGAGGTGTGTGGGTAGAGAGAGGCTGTGAGCAAATGCCAAATGTAAAGCCACCCATTTGTCTGGCCCCTACTGCCTGCTTCTCACTCCAGCAGCTGAAGGCTGAGTAAATAGGAAGCATTTTCCACACACCCCATCTCATCCTTCTCTGTCGATGAGCTCAGAGCACTCCTGCATGTGGCCCTGTGTGCAACAAATGCCCTAGCAATGAGGGCAGGGGACACAGGAACAGCGGCATAGGGCCAAGCAGTGCTGTGGCTGATAGAGGCTGGGTCTCGAATTGTCCCCAAAGTTCAGGGGTTTCAGTCTGGAGGAGGTGGGGAGAACCTCCCATGGAGTCCTTTGGTTCGCAGTACAAAATCACCTATTGCTGGAAAGAATGATGGGCAGCAGAAAAATACCCTTTCTGCCAAGGAAAACAAATGGGGTCTTTCTTTAGCCATGCATTTATATAAATAAACACAGGAATATTTTGCAAGCCCTATGGGACTTGCCTGGAGTAGTATTTTGCTGAATCAGGGTGGGAGTCATCCTCCGTTGTTGAGCCTGCGCAGGAGCATGGCCGCTCTGCCTGGGCTGAGGATGCAGTGCGATGTGGGCTGTGTCCACGGAGCAGGGCAGATGGGGCAGCTCTGAATTCCTGCTGTGCTCATGCAGAACCATACACACGTGGATCAGTGGAAATCGCAGCACGCTTTGCTCCAGAACAGCCAGGTTTTTTTTGCACCTGCCACCGCAGGGACCTTTTTTGCTTTCCAGTGAGTTGAGTGGCCCACGCGGCGCTGCGCCATTCTCATCCCTAACGCAGGGATCACATCTTGCTGGGATGAACCAGCCCAGAACTGCCTGGCTGCTGATGGATTTCAGACCATCCACAAAAAACCGGGCTGGTGCCGCACACCAAGATGGCCGGCCCCCTGTTGGGAAGATGGCTGCTGGCCCTGCCACGTTTGGCACGAGCCGAGGGTGCCCTGATGCGGCAGGGATCCCCGGCGGTCCCCTCTGAGCGTGGTTGTGACAGGGAACAGCCGAGCTGCGCTGCGGGCTGCAGGGCTGAAGGGCAGGGGCAGCCATCTTAGATCCGTGGCTGTGCTGTGGGTGGGGGCCCAGGAGGTGGTCAGCACGTCCTCGCTGGCCGCCCGGCCCTCCCCTCTGCGCTGTGCCCCCAACTCGGGGGGCTGGCAGGCATGGCGCAGGGGTGCCGCCCCACAGCCCCTCTTCCCCTCTGGGCCCGCGGCGGCCGTGTTTGTTCTCCTCACAACGCCCCGTTATCAGCACACAACACACACAGGAAGTCCTGTCTGGGATTGTCCATCCCCGGCCTGATTTATACAGGAAGAAAAGCATAAAAAGCCGCCCTTCCACCTCAGCAGCCACCTCCTGCCTGTGCACGGCCGGCGGGCGGCCATGCGGGGGGTGACAGGAGAGTGCCCGGCTCCAGGCCCAGGGCGGCCATGGGGGGATGGCGGCCGGTGGCCACGAGGCAGTGTGGCAGCGAGGCTGGTCCCAGCACGGCGAGGGACAGCGGAGCACTGCAGGTATGGGGTGAGCTGTGGCTGTCACAGCAGCAGGGACGGGTAGGATGGAGAGGGTCGGAAGGGTTGTGGGGCTGTGGGTGGCACTTGCCAGCTGAGAGGTGTCCCCAGTGCTGGTTTGCCAGCCTGACCTGTAGCACTGCTATGTATGGATGGATATTATATATATATATATATACATAGAAGCACATATATGCTGCATCCAACCCACAGGATGGAGGGTTCGTTTTATCTCTGCGCTTGCGGAGGGAGGCTGCAACACTTGTGCTTGTGATTTCCACCTTTATTTCCATAACTCCTTCTCTGTTTCCATCTGCGTGTCTCTGAGCACCTCCACTGTAACACATTACAGGGCATGTTACGCAGGGCTCTGCCAAGGCTGATGCTGTGAGCCTGGAGCATGCCAGCAGCTCAGCAAAGCCTCTGGAATTTGTAACCATGGGTGTTATGTGTGCTGTTTGAGTTACCTGGGGGTCCTGCCATCCTCATCTACAGCATTACACAGTGAAGGCAGGAGGCTCAGTTCCTCACCTGAGGTGTTGGGGGATAAAGGCTGGCTGCGGGTAGGAGCAGCTGGGTACCCACGCACGTGAAGCAGCATCGTGCCACTGAATAGCTCTTGACAGGCACAGCCAAGCATGCCTTTTCACAGGATCTAACATTCGCAGAAGAAATAATAAGATTTTGCAGGGAGTAAAATGAATGTGAAGCTCTGGCATTGCCTGGGGAGCAGTGCAAGGCAGAAGCTCGGAGGCCCTGAGCCTCCCTCACAAACCTGCCTCGACTCTGGGTAACAGTGGGGCTACAGGTGGGCACACACCTCTGCCCTGGCAGGCTCTGAATGTTATCCCTTGTGATCCTTGTGATTCCTCCCATCACTGAGTCAGTTTCTCTCTATGTTTCTGAGCTATCAGTCTGCACTACTTTTCCCTAGAGGTAAAGAAGAGAAATTGAGTCTGGGATGCAGGCTTATTTGAGCCATTTCCCAGACTCTGATGCTGCAGATGGGTCTGGCTCCAGGGAGACAGATTTACAAACTGCAACAAATTAGTGTAAACGAATCTGACTCACAGTCACACCAGCAGCAGAACTGCATGCAGAAAAAAGATTTAACTTAAGCTTTCAGGGCAGGCAGAGAAAGACAAGGAAAGGGCCTTTGCAAACGGAGGAAGATAATAAAACCTGATATTTAGTTCTCTGTCCCCTCTCCCAACGTAAATGTTATAGGTCTGCCCATCACTCAGGAGGTGATGGCAAGAAGGAGCTCCGCTTGGCCCATTTCTGGAGCTGTGGTTTTTCTCTTGATATAGAAGGATAATTACAGCAAAAAAAGCTGTGTAATGCCACGCTCACTGGCACGGCTGTGATTAAAGGACCAACTGAGCCATGCGTGCTACTTGCAGCCATTCCCACCACACTTTCTGTGCGCTCCTCAGGGAGTGATTCACTGGAAAAATGCAGAGGGGAGAGCTGGGGCCATTCCCCACTGAATAACGCCAGCTTTTGCCAGGGAATTTTCACAGAAAGCAGCAAAATTCAGTTTATTCCTAAGTGCGATGGATCATTTCCCAGTTTTTATGCAGCAGCCATTACTGCTGCCTTGAAATGCAGATGAGAACTCATCGGCGCTCTAACAGAAAAGAAATGTGGCTGCAGGATGTTGTCCTGTTTACGCATTTGTTTTTGCATGGCCACATTTAGGTTGCTGTATGTCTCTGGTGGACTCAGGTTCTAACACACAACGTTTGTTAAGCCCTTATTGAGGCAAAACAAAAATCACTTTGTGGGAATCTGATCTGGGTCATAATACTCATTGCACTCAGCAACTGATGACGAGAGACTCAGTGCTATGGGCCAAGCACTTTTCTTGGTTTGACCTGCTTTGATCCCACTGACATCAATGGACTCCACTAGATTTCCACTGAGATAACTGATCTGCAGCTGACGCAATGGAGAACAATATGGAACATAATAGAATAGTGGGAGGTCTTTTTCCTTACAGAACTCTGCAGAACAGGGGCTGCTCCGGAGCCTAAATTTCAATGTAACATTTCCAAACAGCATTATGAAAAGCCTGAGCAAAATAATTTGTCCTAAGACAGAAAAAGCTGATTCCCCTTTTTTTCGGAATCACCAAAAGTTCCAATTCCTGCAGCAAGAAGCCCCAGCACTGAGCCAGATCCCCATGGAGGCCAGTGAGAGACCGCTGTGCACAGCAGGTACAGGGTCAGCTGTGCCTTGTGGTAGCTGAAAGGTTTTGCATCTGTATGTGTGTCACTCTCCTGCCTTTCTCCCCATCCATCCATCCATCTCCAGCTGTCACTTCAGCACTTCTGGCCCCTGTATGTGAGCACATTGCAGGAGGGTCGGAGCTGGGACTGGGTGGCAATTCTACCTTCTGGCTCACCTGGTGTGTGGCTAGAGACCTGCTCTGGGTGAGGCACCCTGTAGCTCGCACTGATGATAGAACCAGTGGGAAACGAGGAGATTGAACACTGTTAAATCTAAGAGGGAGGTTGGCCAGAAACATTTCTGTCTTGGCCTGGAGACAAGTATTAATATTAGATGTCGTGGGAGTATGCTTCTAAAGTGCAAGGGAGAAGGCTTTGGAGGAAGCAGGGAAACTGCCTGTCCAAGGAAGACTTCAGATTCAGGCAGACGTGCAGCTGCAAACCAAAATGCCTTACTGCCACGGTGAGCAGCTCATCACACCGATGTTAGCTGAGCCAATTTCTGACCCTCCCCTGCTCAGAGCTGGTGCAACATCACTGCCTTCAAGGGAACTTTGCCAGGCTATGTCCTGCGGGATTTCCTCCCAGCATAATGAATATTGGCATACAGGGCACTGAACCCTCCCTAGGAGTGGACAATTAAGTGCTCTTTTAATGGGCTATCTGCAGTTCTTAAGCAGATAACATGGGCTCTGGCTTGTGCAAAGATTTGGCCGAGTAAATGGAGCTGAAAAGCAAACATTTTGTAACTCGAATAATTGCAGAATTTTAAAATAATGCACTTCAGGAATTGTTGTGGAATGGTTGAGAGGGTGATAAGGGAGACCGTGAAAGCACTGTGTTTAGTAGTCCCTCACTGAGGGATCTTTATATGAGCACATGAAAATGCTGCAGGTGGTTGAACACAGTGCTGGGGTACAGCAGGTGGGATCCCAAGTGAGAGGAAGGGAACTCTGATACGGCTGGGGGGTGTCAGCAGGAATGGGGCACCCCACTTCTCACCGAGCTTTGTGAAGTCTCTGGGACCCCACAGCAGGTCCCTCATGGGCTGGATCACTGATACCTGCCTGCAGGACAGAGGGAGTGTAACCAGGGGCTTTTCTGTTCCGACAGTGAGGAACCAAGATGCTCCTTAAGGAGAGGATCCACGCTCGGGCCGGGTGACGGAGCGCTGCGGACAAGGTGAGTGCATTGGCTGTGCTTTTAGACCCTGTGCTTTCCATAGAGCCAGACAGAAGCTTTCCACCGCCCTCTGAGCACATTTTGCAACTATTGAGCAAGTTGAGTATCAGGCACCATTCATCTCCCCCATTAACCAGAAAACAACAGTAACGCTTTCTGCACAGTGAGATAATTACTGTCCCTCTGAGGCTCTTGGGAAAAGCTGCCTGTGCTTCGCGCTTCGGAGATTACATGAGCTGCAATCGTTCCCCAGAGGTTGGCTGAGTGAGCAAACTGTTCTGCTTCCTGCTTGTGCAATGTACGATGCTGTGTAACACGGCGCTGCGCTTCCACCAGCAGCCAGCCCTCCCCTCACTGCAGGCAGTGCTCCTGCCTCCGGATCCCATCGTCCTGCCTGACAGTGGAGCTCCATCTCCACCAGCACATCCCAGAGCTGATTCCCAGCTGTTCCACTCTCTCCCCTGGATAGAACACAAGCAAAACTGCCACACAGGCCCACCTGTGGGTCCCCCAGCACACCTCGCATGCAGCGGCTTTGCTGCAGGGCGCAGCACAACTGGTGGCAGCTCCGATTCCACGGGGAAGCCAGCGAGCTCAGTTGCTCTTTCGCAGCTATTATTGTTTAACTGGTAAATATTTCCCTTAAATGCCTACATGATCTCAAAAAACAAAAAACAAACAAACAAAAAAACTTGCAAAACTTAATGGGAACAAATATTCCCAGGAGGGTGTATCCTGTCATTCAGTTACACATCAGACCCCTGCTATCTTTAAGGCTGGTTCTGAGCACGGGCAGGCGCCTAAGTCATTTGAAAAACAATAAGCCTCTGTGCTCTAATTTCCCAGGGAAAAATGTAGACAAAACAAGTGGCAGTTTGGCACTAACCGAACTGCAGATTTTTTTTATTTGATAAATAAATGAGTGCTTAATAGCAAAAGCCTGCGGGCAGCCGGGGGACCAATCTGCCTCATCGGTCCCAGGGCATCCAAGGGAGCCTTCAAGCGTCCCAAGGGCTCGCAGGGCTGATCCCTGTCCCGGCAACTCACTGCACTCTCCTGCAGGAGTTTGCTGTTGGAATGAGCTCAGGGAGATCACCGGGGCACGGTGGGACCCCATGGAGCGATGTGGTGTGTCGGGTGTCCGGGGGAAGGAGATGCAGAACCAGACACAGTCTTTATTAGCACAGAGAGATAAATTTGCCCTGGTCACTGCACCGGTGACGGGAGATTTCACGGTAGCCTGGGAAGGGCTGGGGGCTTCGCAGGGATCTCCCTGCCTCCCCGTTAATCCCCTGCCCACCCAGGAGAGCCGCTCTGCGACGGGGTCGGGGATCTCGTAGCGCGGTGCGGGGCCGTCCGGGCGCTCTGCAGGTGAGCCTGGAAGCCGGCACAGAAGCGGCGACAGCACAGGGGCACCGCGGCAGCGCGTAACGGGGCCAGGCTGCGGCGGGGGGCTCTGCCTGTGCCGGAGCGGCTCGGCGGGGGCAGGTGGCGGGCGGCGGGGCGGAGGCAGGCGGAGGCTCCCCGGGTCCCGGCGCTTCCCCCAGGCCGGGAGGCACCGCTTTCCTCCCCGCCGGGAGCTCATTGGGTCGGGGCGGAGGGACCGGCTTGGCCCGGGGGGGAGGAAGCGCGCGGGGGGCCGCGGCGCGGCGGCGACTCCGAGGCTCCGCCACCGCCAGCGGTGAGTCCCGGCGGCTGCGGCCGCTGCCCGGGGTGGGGAGAGGGGTCGGAGCGGCGTGGGGGGACCGCGTCAGCCTCAGCCGCATCCTCCGCGGGGCGAAGCGGGCGGCGGGGGGAGCGGGGACGGCACCGCGCCGGGCTGGAGGCGGCGGCGGAGCGGGACCGGAGGGGCTGCGGGGCTCCGGGCAGAGGCCGGTCGGAGGAGGGTCCCGGGGGTGCGGGCAGGGTTCGTAGTGCCCCCGGGGAAGATGTACGTGCGGGGTTTGGGCCTGTTGTGGGCTGGGGGTGGCATCCCTGCGCGGCCGGTGTCTGCACCGTGCAGCCTCTTCTGCTGTGCACGGAGCCAGAGCCTCTCTTGTGCTGCTTCACTGCATCCAGCTCCGTGGATCCCGCTGCCCCGCACGCTCCTGTCCCTGCTCCCATCGTGCCTGCATCTCTGCTGCCGTCGTGCCCATGTCCCCGTGCTCCATGGTGCCCAGGTGTCAGCTTGTGCAGAGAACAGCTGGAAATGTTTGTAAGGGAAAATCCATCCCCCTGATGGTGGTGCCCTCCAGAAGGGTCTGGCAGCTGAGGGCACCACTGGGAGCAGAGGTTCCACCTGCAGAGGCAGGCCGTGCTCTTCCAAGAAGTGCAGCTTGTGTTATCCTTGGGGTTATTGCTTCCTCCTGAAAGGCAGGGTTCTCTTGCATCACTTTGGAGACAGACCCTATCTCATGCTGCTAGCATCACCTGGAGTTTTAGCCTGGCTTTTTTGGGCAGAGCTGGACGAAGTACAGCCCGTGTCAACTCCCTTATGGGTTGTATTTTCCCGTTGGTTGCTGTTGCAAGTTAGAAAGCACAGAGGCAGAATGGAAAAGGTTCCGGCTGGCAGGAGCGGCCCCACAGCCTCCCTCCAGGAGCGCATGGCTGAGCCCATAACCAGCAAAAGCTCAGGTGCTTCTTTGTAGCTTCACGTGCTTTAAAAAAGGAATATTAGAATAGCAGTGACAACAGGTTGGAGGATCTCCTGCAGTTTTGGAGGGGCTGATTTTCACAAACTCATAAAAAACACAAGTATTTACTATCATATTTTCCACTTTTGAAACTTTATCCGGTATTAAGCAACCATAATTTTACGAACCCAGAGGGACATTCTGACTACTTGAGGTAGGACAACGCTGCTCTATTTCGAAAAAAAAGAAGCAGTGCCTGCGTTTGGAGCTTGTGCCCTGTGTTCCTTGCCTTCCCCATGGGGAAAGTTCCCATGGCGGCCGCAGGAATTCAGTGGGAGGACTGCGATGGTTGGCAGAGTTTGACTTACAGACCTCTGCAGTAGCACCGCTGGCCAGGGGATCTGTGGCTGGAAGGAAAATATGTGTCTGTGTGTAGCTCTGGAAAGGCACAGGCAGGCCGGGCTGTGTGCCTGCATCCTGGCTGCGATGGTGCCCGGCTCAGCACAGGGAGCCTTTGCCTCACTGGTGATGCTGTTTGCAGGAGGGGCTTCTGTGCCTCCTTCACCTGAATGAAGAGATGCTGCTGCCTGGCTTGGAGAGGGATTTGGAGACTTACAGGTCTACAGATGAATGTTCCCAACAGCTCAGAGTTAGGATTTGTCCCAGAGGAGTTTGCAGCTTTCTGGTCCAGTCTCACCCCACGTCACCAGAGGATTTTAGAACCTTTTAGGTAGCTCTCTTCAGCTGCAGTTTCAGAAGATTGTTTCCTGTTATGCTGCGTCCCAGTAAAGCAACTTCTTTTCCAAAGATTAATCAGATAGACTGACTCCTTCTTTAATTGTCATGTGCTTAAGGTGGGATTCTTTATTCCTTCCTCCTTTAACTGCTGCCATCCGGAGGCCAACTGTTTTGTTTAAATTGCACATGTTTTTAAATTAGGCATTGTTATTGACCTTCTTCAGCCCTGCTTCGTATTTGTCCCGTTGCTAGAAAATCAAAGCCTCTTTCTTTCCAACTCAGTACTCACTCTGTATACAGATGGTACATATGGCCCTTAAAGCACTTTTCCCTGGCAAGAACTTGTATTTTAAAGAGAAGAAGATCAGATTTCAGTATGTTATATGGTGGGAAAATGCAGCTTTACAATGTTGTATGGATTAAGAAATTACAGGCCATTGTTTTGGCCTTGCTGCCTGGAATTGGCTGCATGTTTCGGAATGATGCAGGTTCTTTCTGTGCAGCCCCCTGGTGTGTGCTAGCAGGAGCCTGCCTCAGCGATGGCCCTGTCCCACATGTCCCCTGTTCCCTGTGCTGTGACCCGCTGGGTCCTGTACCCCCCTGTGTGTCACTGGAAAGCAGAGAACCTCATTCTTCCTTGTCTTACATCCTGGCAGAGCTTGCAATAAGGCACAGCACAGCACAGCCAGCCCACCCAGCACCGTGGGGATGTCTCACAGGGACGTTTCTATTTCCTTAGCACAAACCTGGCCATCAGTCTCACGTCACCATACATCCCTCGGATGCCACCAGCTGGGGATGGGCACCATGTGCTCACACTGCCATTCTCTCTGTTCCAGAGTTCGCCGCTGAGCAGCAAGCCATGCAGTAGGAGCCCATGCTTCCCACCGAGGAGTGACCCCGGTGTGTGCCACACAGCCCAGAGTGCTGCAGGACGAGACAGGACATGCGCCGAATCAGCTGCCTTCTTTCGGGACTCGCCTTCATCCTCAGTGCCACCAGCACAGACAGTTTCGCCCGGGTGGGGTAAGCCTCCTTTTAGTCTGCATCTCCCAGATCTGTCCTCATGAGCGCATGCTGAGCCCCTCTGCAAGGCACCAGGGGCACCTGGCTGGGCGAGGAGCTGGGAGGAGGCTCTGCAGAGTCACTTCTTGGCTTTCGTCCTAGGAATTGGGTCTGACGCTGTCCCTACATCCCAGCACAGCCCGAGCATCTCCATGGCCAAAGGAGGCTCGGTGCTCAATGCCCCAGTTTCTTCCCCCACTGAAAGGAGCTTGAGCTCAGCCCCCGCCCCCCAGATCCAGCTCATTTTCTCCAAAGTTTGTTTTTACATTGAAATTCTCTCCTCTAGAATTAAACCTTTCACATTCTGGTCGTGACTAAACCCACAGGCTGAATTCCTCTCTCGCACGCATGCAACTTCAGCTATAGCTTTATTATAACATTTGCAAAGCAAACAATTTCCATTTAAAAACTACATCTTCTGTAACGTTAACCAGTGAAGCTGAAAGGACTTTTCTGGAGTTAATGGAAGCCAGCTGATGTCCATGCTAATTCCCAGCCTTTTAATTCTAGCTCATAATTGAGCTGTGAGGCTGAGACGAGCACGCAAGTTCTTTGGTGGGACAGATCTGCTGGAGAATGTTGAAGAGAAAGAATCTTTAACTGATACTGCTTTGGCTGTTGGCCTTGGGAATGTTTTCAACTGGGTCTCACTTATCTTAGGAGGAACGGAAGGTGACTTTCCTCTGTCTTCTATCTTTTTACCATCAGCCTGATTCTTTCTGTGGAATCATTAATTTGTTGGCCAAAGGCACATCAGGTTCAGGGGCACAGAAAGCTCAGAAAGGAAAAGATACGTTTCAAAAGTGATTGATTGTAGGTTGAAGAGAGAGAGAGAATGGAAGGAGAACTACTCTGAATACATTTCCCTTAAATCTGGACCCCAACTGTTCAGGATGGAGAAAGTTTGCAGGGTGTGAGGGGGGTCAGTGCCTTTGTGCAGGGGCTGGGGAGGAAGGGGCCATGCAGCCCATAGAGCTGCAGCTTTGTGTCGCTGCCCCTAACAGCATGAAGTCACCTCCTGGGTCACTTGGGCAATGAGCCACTGCCTCTTAAATAGCCGTGTGCAATTAGGAGTTGTCAGGCCACGTCCCCAGCTGGTGTAAATCAGCACGGTCCTTTCAGGATGAGTTTGCCAACCATTGCCTGACCTGCTCTCCTTTGCTCAGCCGCAGGACCTGCGCTGCGGAGCCGCGGAGCCGCACAGCTGCCCACACCGAGTCCCATGTGCAGCCCGTGTACCTGCCCTACCTCACCACCTGCCAGGGCCACCGCCTGTGCAGCACCTACAGGTGGGGGAAGCAGCGTCCACAGCAGTGTGAGAGCCGGGCTGGGGGCTTGGGGCTGCCCCCCGACGCTCAGCCTCATCTCTGTATTGCAGGACCATCTATAAGGTTGCCTACCGGCAGGTGTACAAACAGGTACCTCAGCCTGTGGCCTCGTGCTGTCCTGGGTGGAGCAGAACCAGCAGCTACGAGATCAACTGCAACACAGGTAACAAAGCCACCGGGCCACCCCAGGGTCCTGTTCACTTTGCTGTCCCCCAGCCCCTTGATCCTGGGTGGGTCACGTCCCAGCAGCCAGCTCTCTTGTTGACCAACACCACTCTGATTCTTCCTTCTATGTTTTCAGCATCCAATAGCACAACCAAATGTGGCTCAATTTCTGATTAATTTCTAGGCTTTCTTGGCTGCCTCAGGCCTTTTTCCTGTGGGATCGCTTATTAACTTTAGAGTTACCAGAGGATGAAGAAAGTTAGCAAGTTCTTTCCACATAAGTCAGCAGTAATGGAAGAGAAATGCTTTCAGGAGGACATTGTGATGTGCAACATAAAGCAAATGCAGAACACATTGGCACATCAGCAGCTAATCTCTCTCCAGAAGAGACATAGAGCAACACCAAACACTCTCCTGAGCTGTCAGGGTGCAGCATGGCCCTCCTTCACAGAATCACAGAATTGTAGGGGTTGGAAGGGACCTCCAGAGATCATCGAGTCCAACCCCAGTGCCAAAGCATCCTTCCCCTGACCTGTGCAGGCCCCTCAGCCTCTTTCCAAACCAAGACCTGTTTGTCCCACTCCTGCTGCTCCCACCGCACCCCCAGCACAGCCCAGCCCCACCAGCATGGAGCAGCCCACGCCCAGAGCTGCCACAAGGCTGTGCTGTCCTGTGTTTGCACACAGGTATGGAGATAGGGGAGGAGATGTCCAGTCCCACCAAGTGATGCTGTGCTTGTTTGCCCTCACAGCTCTGTGCCAGTTGCCATGCCAGAATGGCGGCCGCTGCACGTTCCCTGGAAGATGTGCCTGCCCGCCCGGCTGGATGGGGCCTTCCTGCCAGACAGGTACTGCTGCACCCTGCTCCCCTCCTGGCACCTCCTGGCATAGGGGACCATGTTAGGTCAGCACGAGCTGGGGCTGTGCTCTGCTGGGACTGCAGTCAGCAAAGGGCTTTCAGCAGAGCAGCCCTCACACACGTGGGGCTGTCCCAAGGCTGCGTATTTACAGTGACCCATCTCCCAGCCTTTGTAAACTCTTGCTGTAAACGAAGACGCTCATTTGCTGCAGAACCTAAATCTGTAAAGCAAAAAGATCCGGGGGTGGAGGGGAAGGGCTCCTCTCCTGTGCGAGAGCAGCCTGATGCCTCACTGGAGCACGGGGATATCCAGCAGAGCACACCAGCATGGTGCAAACCACTTCCAACACTTCTCCTGGCTGTCCGCCCTCCTGTAAGGCAGAGGAGGAGTGTGTGGCACTGACCCGTGCTGGGCAGGGCAGGGCTGGGCTGAGCACATCTCTGACGGCTCCAGCTCCAGTGCTGGGGAAAGGATTTTCCCACTGCCTAGAACAGATTTGCCCAGGCGTGGGAAGCAGCTCTGCTCATTTTGCTTTGTGGGAACAGCTTTAATAACTCCCCCGTGTGAGGAGAGGTTACTGGGTTTTATACACACTTGAAAGGCTGATAGCTCCTCACCACGGCTGGCTGGAACCAAAACCCTGACCATAAATCCAGGATGAGAGCCAGACACTGAGAGCAGTGATATGGAGCTGCCTGCACCCCTGTGCTCAAGGATGATGCCTTCTCTGGCCAAAGTATGGGCATTTCTAAGTTTATCCTTGGCTTTTTACCCTTAGGAGGGTGAGAGGGATGTAGGAAGGAGGCCAGATTTTTCCTCTGGATAAATAAGTAATATGGGTATCCTATATTTACACCAGCATCTTCTTAGTGTGCTCCTACCCTGTCTGAGGGGCACCCACACAGCTGCCAGCCAAGTTTGGGGAGAGTGATCTGGGCCTTGGCCCATCACATCCCCACCATGAGGATGTCAGTGTGGCTTTGGCAGGGGGAGCAGCATCTCTGCTCCATCTGCACCTCTCTGCCCCTGAGCATTTTACTCCCAGCCCTGTCCTCATGGAGCCACCCCTGTGCTTTCAGATGCAGATGAATGTGCCAGCCGGAGCCATGGGTGCAGCCAGCTCTGCGTCAATACAGCTGGGAGCTTCCATTGTGCCTGCTGGGATGGCTTTAGCCTCGCTGCTGATAACAAGGCATGCCAGCCCGTGGTGCCAGGCCCTGAGCCAGGAACCTTCAGCCAAGCAGGTAACTGCCCATTGCTGCAGCATAGCAGCAGCTGCCTGGGGGCTTTGGTGAAACCTGGGATTAACACAGCAGCACAGGATGGCTAGAGAAGGACTGGCAAGAGCTAGAAGATGGAACAAAACCTGCCTTGTGCACAAGCCCAGGCCCTGCAGGGGTGACAAAGCCTGGCTGTGGTGTGTGGTGGTCGGGACTGTAGCTGTACTCTCCATCATCATCATCATCCTTCCTATGGGGCAGATCCATCCAGAGCCACAAGGAGCATCAGGAGCTGCTGGTGACGGCCCATTATTACTTTTGGTACGCGCTGTGACACTTCAAACTCGTACCGTGAGTAATAATGCGCTGTGGTCAGCGCTGGCATCACGTGGCAACACCTGGGAGAGCCATCTGCCTGTCCCAAACACCACCTGCTTTTGTCATGTCTCTACAGCAGAGCTCGCCTTGGGACAGGGAAGACACGGGTGCTAACTCATCTTTTGGCAGCAAAGGCATGAAAGGATATTTTGTCCTTTAAGCATCACCCCACAGCCTGAGAAACTCCCTCACTTTATTCTAGGTACTGCTGTGCTTGCAGTGGGCACTGCATCCAGTTCCTGAACCCTGAGATTCCATCGAAGGGGAGCACCAAGCAGCACTGCTTATCCTGAACCCAGCACATCCCACTTCACCTCAGGCAATGGATTTTTACTAACCAACCCATTTGGTCCTTTTTTTTCCAGAGCCCTCCAGTGAAATGAAGGAAGAAATGAAAGACCTGAAGAACAGAGTAGAAGCACTGGAGCAGGTGTGTGTTTGATGTCCCCGTCTGCCCCTTCCTGCCCTGCCTGCGGCCACGTGCAGCCAGCTCCAAGCCCAGGCTGTGCACAGCCAGGGTTTCCCTCCACCCCTGCTCTATTTTTAACACCACCCTGACCTCACGCAAGCAGGGAGCAGGCAAGGATCCCAGCTGGGCTCCACACTGCAAGCAGAGCCTCCCAGCAGCTCTTCCAGCCCAGCAGCCCTTTGAACGCAACCAAACATTGCGCTGAGGCGCCTCCTGACTGCTCATGGCTCCTCTTCTCCCTGCAGAAACTCCAGTTGGTGCTGGCTCCCTTCCACAACCTCATGCCATCTGCACCAGAGGACGTTGGCACAGACCCCATCAGCCGACTGTCCCACTCCCTCCAGCAGCTGGACAGAATTGACTCCTTGAGCGAGCAGATCTCCTTCCTGGAGGAGCGGCTGGAGACATGTAAGTGCCTGCAAAAAGGATGGGTGAAGCATTGCACTGTCCCTATTTTCCCCCCCACACATTCAAACACCACTGACACAGCCTCAGACCTCAGTGCCACAGCTTTGCTTGGGGCTGTTTGTGCCACGGATCTTGGCTGTGGAGAGCAGATGCAAGCCAGCAAGATCAGTAACACATATATCACTATTAATCTTGATCTTCCCTCAAACTCAGCAGCCTGTAATTAATAAAAGATGAATGCAAACAACCCATTAGCTTCATTCCAAAGCTGTCTGTTTGGCTGCACCATCTGATTGCGCTCATAGCAGCCAGAGTAAGAGAGGCACACAGAAACAGGGCTGTTGGGCAGAAGCAGAGGGAGGCTGCCTCGAGCAGTGGGGCACATCTCACAGCACTCTCACCAGCTCTCCCCCCTCCCTGTAGCACCGTAACTTGGTCCAGGATGAAATGAAAAGCCCCAAGTCTTAAAAACTTAACAGTGCAAAAAGTCAATCAGCAAAGTTTAGGGAGCGTGCCCAAGTTGGCAGATTTATGAGCCTGGGAAGTTTTAGGCATGTTTCTTCTTGAAGGCTGTAGAGCAGCACTTTGTCACGCAGTGCACCACAGAGGTGCCTTAAATAGTAGGCACTGAGTGGCAGCAGCCTCGTGCTAAAGGCACAAGGATTACGTTGCCTGTTCAGAGGAAGGGACAGGGAGGTTTCAAGGCATACCCAGTCCCAGTTCACTGCTTGTGCTAATGGCTTAGGTATTAAAAACTTCAAAGAGCTTGCTTGAAGCTGCAAATTGACGCTTAAAGAAAAACTCAGAAAGGGGTAATTACAAAAACCTGTAAGTGTCTCAGTGGGCCAGGTTTCCTAGCATTGCCCTATGCTTATTATTAGTGACAGCACTGAGGAATGGGAGCAGCATCACAAGGTAACGTGGATTTGTTCCAAGGGATGACTCCAAAGTCCTGTATTTAGCTTCTGCCAAGCCTGTTCCAGCAGGCAAAACTTGCCTTTGTCCCTCCCATGTTCTTGGAAGTCCCTGGAGGATACAAGACTGTTCTGTTGTACTGCAGTGAGTGCAGAGCATCAGCTGCAGCTGTGGTCAGGACAGCCCAGACCCAGCTGGCATTCTTTTCAGTACCTTCCCTGCCTTGAGGTGCTATGCATAGGCTTACCAGGCTCAGGGCCAGCAGGATGGAATCAGCAGGAGGCTGTTTGGCAAAGGAAAAACAGTAGAGGTAGATGACATTTATAGGTGCTGAGGGCAACCTCATCTTTCTAAGGAGAAGAGACAGCAAGATTATTTAGCATGTGAGAAGACAAGGGAGTTGGTTACAGCCAGCACAGAGAACCTGCTCTTCTGTGCCCATTGCTGTGTTGGTTGGAGGTGCCACCACCACACCAAACCCTGGCTAACAACAGTGCTGGATTATTTACTTTTTTTTAATTATTATTATTATTTTTTAAATCTTTCCAGGTTCCTGCAAGAATGAACTCTAGCTGAGCACCCAAAGAATCAGAACAGGCAGACTGTATCTGTACTTGTCTCTCTCTCCAGCCCCAGTCTGGGGCCGAAGACGCATCATCTCCAGGAAGACGCAGGGTAGAATGACAAGGCTGGTTTCCCATCAGATTCCCAGTATTTTCTCTTCCAACTCACCTTACCAAAAGTCATGAAGTTACTTCCAAACTGGACTTTTAACCCTGAGCATCTCACCCCACTCCTGCTGGAGAGGCAGAAAATAAATGCCTTACCTCATGCCATTAGCAGTGCCCGTCTGGCTGCGCCAGAGATTGGCTCTACACGAATTCATGTGGTGCTTGGTTTTGTTTGCCTCTTCCTTAGCCCTGTAGGGCAGTAATCATCATGCTTTTACACAGGCCTGAAGGCATAGAGCCTGGTTTTATTGTTTTAATGCAAAACCTTTCCCTGTGACGCTGCCATCACCAGCACAGAGCAGACAGGGACAAACCTGCATCACTCAGCCGTGCCAACAGGGTGAGGCCAAGTCCCCTGCACACCTGCTCTGCAGATGGAGTCCAGACAAAGCCCACTTGTTTACACTGGCACAGCACCAACTGTTAAGGTGGCTGTTTTCCCCCACCCAACCGTTGCTGCTTTGGCAGTCCACACCAACCTCCCTAGCTCTGTTTGTTCAAGCCAAGGTTGCAGGTGTAGCAGAGCAGACGCGAGCGATGCGGTACAACACTTTGCTACAACCACAGTTGCAGGAGGAGCCCTGTGGGTACAGCCACGCTGCAGAGTTATACTAAAATAAAGAGTTACACTAAAATAAAGTCTCCTACTGTGCACAGAGGCCGCAGGCTCATTACAGGAAGGATGGAGCTCCCTCCATGGCCCCACTTTGCTATGGGCTCTTCCTCCTGCAGCAGCCCTCCTCCCTCAGCTCCCACACAAAATCAAGAGTCTCCTTCATTTAAATAATTAAAGACATACTTTTTTTTTTTCCCCCTCTTTAAGCAAAATACATTATTCTTAACCCAATTAAAACTGAACAGTAGACAAATGCACACAGAGGCATTGCTTCTTTCTCCCAGGTGCTGCATGAGTTGCTCCATTGAGCACTCCTTTGATCTTCCTGGGTTTCACCTCCATAACAGCCATTTTTCTGCTGTTCTTACAAAGTGCTGGTTGGGTTTCCATCCTCCCACCCCGACCCATTCCCTTGGCAGGTCTGACCCCTGAGACTGTACCATAAAGACCCTAGGATAAAGCCCCAGCTCCACAGCAACTCAGCCCAAGGACTGTCTGCCTTGGAGACTGCTGGTTGTGCCTTGCCCACGTGAGGATTTACCCTTCAAAATGCCCTGTGAATCCATTTAGAGCAACGCAGCCACAGGCAGGCTCCAGAAGCTGGCTGTGCTCATCTCATGGTGCTCCCTGCTGCATTAGCAAGAGTGCTCATGCCTCCCTGAGCCCCGGAATCACAGACCTGAGCCAGCCCCGCTCTTCACAGAGAGCAACAGCAAGGGATCCAGGAGCACTGCCCCATCTGCCATCCCAGAGCTGGGAAAGCCCTTTATCCAAACTCCTCTAAAAGGGATGGAGCCTATTTCCTCTAGGGGAAAAACTGAAACTCTCCCCATTACAGACTCAGCTCACGCACCCTGTAGGCTCCCCACAAGTTTTGCAACTCCTGCGGAGCAGCAGCTTCACTGAGATCAGCACAGAGACATGGGACAGGCACCATCTTTCGGCCAGTGCTGACCATGACAAGACGAGCGTGGCAGAGCCCTCTGCATCTGCACCAAGCACCCCAGGCGCCAGGATAACTGCAGCGAGGAGGTCGAACAAACAGCACAGCCAAACCCACGCAGGCAGCGTGCACTGCCTCGGTGACACCACAGCTTCCCTCTGCACAGCTGTACCCCTCAGTGAGGGAGAGCACTTGTTCTAATGAAAAGCTGGGCTTTAGGAAAGGCTCACGGCTGACTGGCCCCATGCATTCCCCTTTTTTAGCTCAGTTATTGGCCGTAGGAGCTTTCCTCAAAGGGGGAAGGCTTGGCTCCAGAACGCCTGGGCAACGCAGAGCCCCAGCAACAGATGCTGCTGAGATCTAAGGGCATCTGTCAGGAAAAAGCCTCAGTGCTCTGCTCCACCTGGGGATGCTGGCAGAAGCACGTTGCAGGGCACAGCACTGAACACAGGGCTGTGCTGCTGGACAGCCAGAGTCTGGATTTTCTCCCAATTCTCAGCACCAAGGTTGTGCAGGGACACACTGCTGCCTGCTGGCTTTCCATCTGGGGCAGCACCTAACAGCCAGCAGGAGCACGGGGACATTCACACAGGGCAGAGCCCAGGCTCCTACCAGGCCCTCCTCACTGCCCCACGGCAGCTGCCTGAGCTGGAGAACTCACCTCTCTGGTCATTGAGCCCTTTGGTAGCATACGTTTGGTGCCTGAGAAATACAGAAAGAGGAGACATTTCATTGCAAGATAAAGAACCCTTAAGAGAAATCCACTCAACAGGGAGCCTTGCTGCTGGCTCGATACGCCTCGTGTGCCAGTCCACAGCATCCCCAGAGTTCCAAGTCACTGCGGAGAAAGAGATTTTCCTTTGGTGTTTGGCAGCAGATGGGTCCCTTCGGCCACCGCCACACGGTGACGCCGCTGGAGCAGCACCTAGGAGGAATCCTTCCCCTCGCCTGGGCGGCCCGACAGCCTGAAGAGGGTCTCCCTCATGATGTTGTGGCATCTGTCAGTGAGGTCAGAGACGTCGTCTGATGTCAGCCCTTTGGTTTCTATTGGCGGGAGAACCTCGACCTTGATTTTGCCTGGAAGCACAAGAGGAGCCTGTGAGAAAGCTCCCATCGCAGGAGCGCTGCTCTCTGCCCTTACAGAACACCTGCCATGGACAGGCCCATTGCAGCCCCCCAGGTACTCATCCCTGCAGTCATCTGCCCCTGCCAGCAGAGGTTGCGCGGCCCTCAGGGGAAGAGATTCTCTGAGAATTACACCCTGCCCGAAATAGCTGCTCCAAGGAGCAAAGCATTTCCCATGCCCTGATCTGGAGATGTTAGAGGCTGCACCCTGAGCTCTGCAGGGCTGAGGTGAGCACACAGAGCTCAGCACCAGGTGCTCCATCCATCTGCTCCTGCCCAGCCCTCCTACCTCCAGCCAGCAGCAGAGGGAAGGCTTGCTCCCAACATTACTGATTCACACTGGCCGAAAGCCAACCTGCTGCCCAGCACTTACACTGACAGATTTAAGAGTTTTAACTCAACTTGCAGAGGGGTCCCTGCTGTGAAAGACCGGAATTCAGACCATGCTTGCTTCTTCCCCCAAACACAATCCCTCTCCAAACCACCTGGGCTGTGCCAGCTATGTGAGGTAGAGGTGGCACCTAGTTCTTAATGAAAACACCCCTTAGAACGTTTAATTACATCCTCCCCTGAGTTAATCCAGCTCAGCTCTGGAGCCAAGTGCTTTGAACTGCCTCCATGCATCTGCTCAGCTCGGCCCCCCTCCCACATCCCCACACAGACACGGTATCGCTCCATCTCTGAGAAGCTATGAAGGCTCTTTCATACCTGATGTAAACAGATTCTTCTTCGGGTTGTAGAAAGTGGTGAAGGAGGAATACACCACGGGGATCACCGGGACCTTGGGGAGGAAGAGGAGTAATTGCAGTGGGAAGTCAGGATCCACTGGGACATTCGAGGCACTGGGGACAGCTGACACTTCAGCCTCAGGTCAGCACTGCTTGCAGAGCTCAGCTCGGCTCCTCCAGGGCCAGGCTGAGCTGTTCCTGACCTGCACACACCGAGGCTGCCTGTTTTGACAGGCCTTTCTGTGCTGCACGAGCACATAGCTGGGGCAGGGCAGCCTCCATGCCTTCAGCTTCTGAGAGGGGTGTCACCAACTGCAATCAGTGCTCCCAGGAAGGCTCAGGCAGGCAGAGACAGAGCCAGGAGGGCAGGCCCAGAGTCACATTATTTCAGTGCTGGTAACACAGACATGATTTGCAGTTGGTGACTCATGGGGAGCGGCAGCAGTGGGAGCAGAGGTGGGCAACATTTCCACTGTCCTCCCCTTCAGGCCCTGCCAAGCCCAGAAGGAGGTTGGCACCCGCTCCCTCCTCCAGGATCCCTGCTGCAATGCTCTGTGAAAGGGGAACACTTCCCCTCGGGTCTCCAATGATTCTGGTCCCAAGAACGGAGGCACAGCATGCACTGGAGGCTGAGGCACAGCGTGTGCCTTCCTTTGGCACCAGAGAACAGAGCAGGTGTCCCAGCTGGCAGCAATCCCCCTTGGCCACAGTTGGATTCTGCTGCTCCTTCAGGAGCACCAACAGCTCCAGTTTTCCAGAGCCCAGGAGCTGTTTGCTGCTCTCCCATGGACTCTGCCATATCGAGCAGAGAAGGCATCTAACACAGCACAGAGCAGCCCCTGTGGCAGCCTGGGAAGAGGCTGCTACTTTCACCAAGAGGAAGCCCGGGTGATGCTCTAACATCAATAAACACAAATCAGCACTCTGCTGTTGCTACATGGGAGATTAAGAAATTAATTGCCAGCTGTGGAATCCCCAAGGCAAGCTCTTGGTGTGGTGCTGGGCTCTCTGTTGGAGGGGAAAAATAGGCATTCTATTCTTGCTAGGCAGAACTCAGGACACCTAAGGGTGGTTGAGCTGAGAAGCACAGCTGTGAGCTATGAGCCTCACCTGGGAACAAACCAACCACACCACAGCATGGCCAGTCTGCAACACCACTGCAAAACCTTTTGGGTCCTCACGTTTGGGAGGAGCCTTTGGGAAGCAAAGCACTGTTACCTGTGCCTGGACAGCAAGATGAAATGCTCCTTTCTTGAATGGCATCAAATCTCCCGTGCAGTTCCTCGTGCCCTCAGGGTACACCCACACCTTCACCTGCAGGAGATAAGGCTCTGCTCCAGCAACCTTCTTGCAGCATTCCCTCCCACCAGCACTGCCACATCACCCCCCAGGCAATGCCACAATGCCACTCACGTTCTCAGCTATCATGGTCTTGGCCACCTCTGCCATCACCATCTTGGCACTGCTGGTTTTCTTCCTGTTGATGAAGATGACACCCCCGAGGTAGGTGATGAGTCCCACCGTGCCGGCATACATCAGCTCCTTCTTGCCCACCTGGACACAGCCGTCGGGCAGGACCTCCATCAGCCCTAACGTGACGGCAGAGCGTGAGACCCAGCAGCCACCCCCTCCCCAAGCGCCTGCACTTGGATGGGACAGAGGGAGGGGGGAGGCCCCTCCTGTAACCAGCACCAAACCAGTGGCCTCGGGAGCACAGAGCAGTGCAGGGGCAGGGGAT